ATTGAAGATTTTATTGGTTAAAAATCACATAAACGGACAGAGAAATGCAATAATCACATGATCAAAATTTTCTATAGTGTATAAATGTATATATCTTAATAATGAGGAATAAAACTCTTTAATAATAGTCTAAACTTAGACGAAACTATATTAAAATCATAATAAGGGATATGACGAAATCCTTTGATACGACGAAAGCTAAAACTGTTAAAACTATATTAAAAACATAGAAAAGGGTATGATGAAATTATTTTGAGAAGATTTTAGCAGGTATTTATAATATATCTAGAGTGAAGCAAAGGATAAAAAAATAATTTTTTTAAAATAATATTTTATTTATTAACTTAATTAGAATTTAAGAAATAAATTATATAATACTTTAATAAAGTATTGAATGCACTTAAAGTTTATGTAATTAGTTTATTAAGTAAGAATTCAAATAATAAAATATTGAGCTTAAATTAAATTAATATTAGAAAATGAAAACTATTTTAGTCTAAAGTATAATTTTGATAATAACATAAGTTAATTTTAATAATATAGCAAATAATAAATAAATTTATTTATATAATACAAAATTAGTAATAAATAAATTCATAAATTTTATTTATTAATCAGGCTATAATATAGAATAATATTGCATTTAAAATACTAAATGTATAAGGTTTTTCATTATACTCTTTAAATAATAAATTAAATTTATTCGAATATTTATTTAAATCATAATTAAATCTATAAAATTTTGACAAATCAAAATTAACTCAAATTACATAAATATGAGTCTATTATATTTTATATACATTTATCTAAATATTAAATTTTGATATTAAATTTAAAGATTAGACTTAATATGTGTATACTTGAGAGATTAGATTTAAAAGTTAGATTTAATATATATGAGGCAGTTAGTAGAAAAGAGGAAATCAACTTTTTGATCAAAAATTTTTTATTGGCTCACTCTATTGATTATGGTTATGTAAATAAAACTAGTTTAATAACTAAAATTACTTAAAATTTGTAGATTTCTCCTTTTATATTGAATGTCTCTCATATATTTAAAATTTTTAATACTTCAAAATTATTTTTTTATTCTATTATTTATAATGAATTAGTTTAAAAATAATTTTTATATATTAAAAAATAATGATATATTAAAAAAAATTTGATAAGAATCTGTTGTCTGTTAAATTTAACTTTTATAAAGTTAAACTTAATATATAAATATTTAGAAATTAGTTTTTTAATCTTTAATTATTTTATAAAAAATCATCCTTAAGATTAATTTTAGGATATTATAAATATAATGATATATAATTTAAAATTATAAAGTTATTTTTCTAATATATTAGATATTTTGTATTTTTTAGTTTTTATTTTTTTTTTAAATGTAAATATATAATATAATTTTTTTAATATATTAAAATTAATTAAAATTGTTTTCAAAAGGTTATATAATTAATGTATTTTTTTGATATTTAAAGATTATAAAATTAGCAAATAACATATTAAAATATTAAATAGTAGGAATTAGACTTAGGTTAGTTTAGAATTTAAAATTAATACTAGTAATATATAGCAAGAATTTAATTTAGATAATAATTGGATTATTTTCTAAATATCTTATATAAAAATGACTACAGAAGTTCTTTCTTATCCTACTAATTATAAGATTTAAATAATAGAATATATTTATTTAGAAATCTTTTTATATATATAACATATAAGATCAATTATAATATTATAGATAAAAAAAATTTTTTAAATATATATTATACTTTTATAATATAACTTTGTTATAATTTAAATTATTATAATTTTTAATAATATTTTTAAGTATTTAAATATTATAGATTTATAAATTTTTTCTTTTAAAAAGATTTTGTAATATTTTTATATTTAGAATTAATTTCTTAATTTATATTTATTTATCATATTAAAGTATAATATATTTTTTAAATATATTTAAAGTAAGAGAGAGTAAATATTCATTTTTTAAATAAATTTACTAATTCTTTATAAACATTTTAATATGTTTAAAATTAAGCATTTTTGCAAAATTAATAATATTAAATGTATAAATATTTTAAATTAATTTCTAAAGAATAAGTGAGTAAAATATTTAAGACATAAATAGTAGCAATATAATATTTATTTTTTACTTTAAATTATTATGAAAATTTTATTTTAATTTTCTACTTAATGGTTATTGATTTCCTTTGATATTATATTTTTTATTTATTATTTATAAGTAATGTTGAAAATTTAATATATGGGAGGTTTGCTATTAAAATCGAGTTACGAATATAGTAAATCATATGGTCCGTAACGTGATTTTAATAGCTTTACCTCCCATATTCAGAAGTTTCATTTTCGTATTTACATTTATAATTATATTTAATTTAAAATTTAACGTTTTTGTATAGCTTATTATTAAAATTTAGAAAAGTACTGGGTTTAAAATTCCTGATAGAAAATCTTAAGAAGAGATTTTAAATAAATAAATATGCTTTAATATATCATTTATGATAAATGCTATTAATGCTATTTTAAAGCAATAATCCATTATAAAAGATAAACTTGTTATTTTTAAAAAATAATATATTTATAATAAAGTTATTATACTTTAACAATAAAACCTAACAATAAAACAATCATCAAATCTTTTTGTGCAGGATGTGACGAAAAGCAAGGGATTTTTGGAAATATAAAGTAAATATAATGAACTTGGAATATAAATCTACTATAATAATTGTTTTTGTGTGTAAAAATAACGTTTATTGAATTATGTCCCTGCAGATCAATAGAAAGGGAAACTGCCAGAAAAAATCTTCAATATTCGTGTAACCTTGACCTGTAAATTGTTTTACCATTTCGTAATGTTCCTTTAATAATCCAAGGTTCCAACACGTGAGAGGCAGAACTTAAACTAATCTTAGCCTAAAAAGTTCTTTCTCCCGTTGCAAAGCAACGAGTGTATGATTTTCTAACCGATGCGGCGGAATATGCACACACTATATGATGAGAAAATTGTCGTGGGTATTTTCTAATGATGTTTATAAGAAATGTTATGTGCGGATCGCGAACAATACTTTCTTGAAGCGCGCGGAAATTGCACCAATTAAGTTCTAGCACGCATGACCACACTACCAAAATCAACTAGCTAACAATTATAAATTAAGTTGTAAGGAGTTCTATATATTAGATTATATTTTTTTATATAGATCATATCCTAAAAGCTGATAGTAACGAAAACTGGTGTAAAATTGACTTGTTTAAAAACTTTAATTTTTAGAATGAATGAGTATATAATAAAATATTACGAGGACTACCACACTTTTGTAGCCAAATTGAGAAAAAAAATATTGTTCTGCAAGTATCGAGACATTATACATATCAAAGGTACATACATGATCACGCCAATTAGTTTTGCTGATAGTGATACAGAGACAGATAACTGGACGTACAGATTTCAGATGTGCTTGAAATGATAGTTTTGCCAGCAAAAAATTTACCACGTTACATTTAATTTTCATTTTGGATCAGAATTTTGGGATAAAATATATCCATATCCATTTATAAGATGAAATGCGTGAATTTTTTAGTAGTGATATAAGTGTAAATTATGTACAAATGGTGTTAAAGAAACCTTATTTTTTTTATGAAATAACAAATTATTATTTTATGATTTCTGCGATGGACAATTTTGGTCATCAGATCGATTATAACACCTTTTTTAACACAAGATCGCGTGATTATCGGTAAGGTTATTTATTAACTCCGAAAGTAACATTACACCATATATATATATATATTTTTCGTTTATTTAAGTTGCTTTGAGGGAACCTTTCTTCAACCATTAAAATGGAAGTTCCGATTCCTTCCGACTTTCTATGCTGTTAAAAGGAATCATGCAAAGGAATCCTTAAAGTAATATAAGGAAAGCAAAGAATCTAGTCAAAGTTGATGGTGGTGGCAAAGTACATACTAAACAAATCATCAAAAAATGGGCGTTTTTGGAAAAAGACAAATCCAGAACATTTATCCAACTTTATTCTTTGTATGCATGAATTTTAATCATTGTGTCAAAAAATTTTTAGATTATCTACTTCTCTTTCGGATGACTAATTTTAAAAATGTTTATTTGACTTCATTTAATTAATTATCAAAATTAATCTGCATATTATATGTATATCTTCCTCCTTTAATGCAAGTCTTCAACCCGTTTTGCGCTTATTGAGAGCCGATTATCATAGGTAAACTTTTTAAAACGTAAAGATGAATTCCTCTACATTCTAATTAAAAAAAATTTACAGAAAGGAATAAAGAAAACGTTTTAATCGCGAATGTTGAATATTTTTATATATTGTTATTGCCTTTAATTTTTCGATATAACTGGCGAAACAAATATTTGCATGGCATGCATGGCATGCAGTTATGATCGAGTGGACCTATCCTTTTTTTTTATATATATTTTTGGGGTTGGTGCTACTTATATCGGGCTTTGACTGATTTAGTCTCATTCAAAGATTCCATCCGATCGACAAAGCTGTGTAGGACAATAATGGACTCTTTAATATTCATATGTTGGTGCGTAAAAAGATTTATTTATTTATTTATTTATTATTTGTTTTGTTTAACATAATATTTACTTCTAATGTTCATGTATATCTTATATTGAATTGTGTACCTTTTCTTTTTTTTTTTTAAAAAAAAAAAGGAATATTTCAAATGTGAACGAATGAGTTAGTTTAATATAGATAATTATATGTATGATCTAAGTAAGCGAAAAAAAATATCTATAATTTCTATGCAAAGCAGAAAGAAAGTTTGTAAAATATGTGGTACTTTTATTTGATTATTCTTTTTTTTTTTTTTAAAAAAAAAAAAAAAAAAAAAAAAAAGTTGGATAGTCGGAAATGAGTATAAACACAAAACGCGAAACGTGTTGTAAATGAAAATTTTTTTTTTTTTGTATAGAGATTTTTTTTAATTAAAGGGATTTATAAGTTTAATAATTTTTTTCGAGGTTTCTGCGCAAAGGTCCTGCTCATTTTAAACGCGGTATGATAATCGTCCACTTCCGTTTTAAAATCTTCCACTAATTGACAATATGCTTCGGAAGTAATGCTTGAAAATTCACAAAGTGAATTTTTTAATGTTATATAAACCCTCGCCCAATCTTTAAGACACAATTCACCGATAACCCCACCCTTCTTTCCAAAAAATGTAGTCTTTTCCTCATTGTGAATGTCAATTAAATCGTATCTACGAAGGTATTTAGGAAGCGCACTGATAAGGTAAAAATTGATACCTCGTTGACGCCATAACGCTTGATCTAAGTAAAGAAAGATTTTAGTTTATTTACGAGAAATTTATTTATTACTTTTCTTATCATCCAAATTAAAACTTACATTTATTATAGAAATACCTATGAGCGGGCCCCGGATTTATTAGATCAGAAGTAAAATCCAAGATCTCTAACCATCCGCCAGGTTTTAAAACTCTCATTATTTCTTTGAATATAAAAGTAAGATTTTTTTCTTGCATCAAACAAAGCACGAATCTAATGTTGATAAAATCAAATTTATTATCAGGGAAAGGTAATCCTTCCGTAATATCAACCTGTTCGAACGCCGTGTTTGATGGATGCGTATCCACCGGAAATGTAGGTACGATATCTATCCCCGTGAAATTTGATAAAGGGTAATTCACGGCCATCTCCAACAACCACAATCCCGAACCGCAACCGATATCAAGCACCTCAACCCCACCCAATTTCAAGATGGTTTCAACTGGTGATGAAAAGTGAGATTTCCATATATGCCAGTATATATAATGCTGTTCTTGTAACCTATCAAGTTCTTCATCATCATTCGGTAATAAGTATTTGTTAAAGTCCTTTAAATATCTCCTTCCGTTAACAAATTGATAAACGCCTTCTTGAAAGCTACTACTGCAACTACTACTTTTTTTAACTTTATTAACTTTATAAAGAGAAAATATGTTTCCCATCATGAATAGTTGGACTTTTTTTAAAAAACAAAATGTAACTACCTAGATATAGAATAAAAGTGAGTCAAAAAAAAAAAAAAAAAAAAAAAAAAAAAAAAAAAAAAAAAAAAAAAAAAAAAAAAAAAAAAAATTAAAAAAAAAAAAAAAAAAAAAAAAAAAAAAAAAAAAAAAAAAAAAAAAAAAAAAAAAAAAAAAAAAAAAAAAAA